CTTAACGACTGAGCCACCAGGCGCCCTGAGGTCTTGTATTTTTAAAGTTTAAAAACTCTTTCCCGGTGACCTGCCTTAAAGGAGAATTTTGACAAAAATAGAGGAAATGCCAGTCTCTTTCCCCATCACCTGTGTTAGGGTAAAGTACATTTGGTTCTATAACCACTGAGTATTGAGAATAAAACTGTGAGGATAGTATTTACGGATTTCCTTTTAGAATCCGCTTGGTGGATTTTTGAAGACAAAAGGATAAACTTGTCCTGTTGACCAGGTTTTTCTATACTGGGGGTTGGGGGGTGGGAGTTAGCTGCTTTGTTGCTTCTTGGCAGTATTGAATCTTAGTCATGATTCTGAAGAATGTTCTGGAAAATTGCTTTCTTGGATACATTTATCTTAACTCTCTTTTTGAAAATGTATGTTAACAATCAGTAGCTCTGGCTGGTTACTTGGGGGAGATCCTGTAAGACATAAAACAGCGTAAAGTGCTTTCAGTTGCAGAGGGAGCCTTCCAGAGGCTCCCAAAATGATACTTGGATCGTGTGGGAGGAAATCTTTTCCAATTTTCTAGGTTTCTGTAAATATATATGAGCTATGTGGTTATAAAACCTTATGATGGAAAATATGTTTAAGAAACATCAGTGTGCTCCCAGGCAGGGACGGCACAAAAGATGCCCTAACACATTTAATGCCCCAGTTAAAATATATTGCACAAGTCCCATTTTCTGGAACTGGATAAACAGAACATCTTTCTATTCTGAGCTCCTGTCCCCCTCTCCACCTAGTCACTTCAATGGCACAATAAATGGAAATCTTATTTCCTGTATCTGCAGACCTATTTACCTGAATGTCTAAGCTCTCCCTTGCCTTTCTCAGGTCTGTTCTTTCTGAAATGCGATTTTGCTTTCATCTCCCTGGCTTCTTTGCCCTCGTTTTGTTTTTTTTTTTTTTTCCCTAAGCCTTCTCTAATCCTGCACTCCATTTACTTTAATCTGTAATGTTGGACATTGCCATTCTGCATAGACACCTTTAAACATTCATCATCTCCCAGATTTGCATTTTCTTCCATTATGAACTTAAATCCCTTTTCACAGTCTGTAACAGTGAAAAAGTTTTAAAATAAAGAACTATTATCAAAAGCCATTTCTGCCAATTTAAAATGCCTTATTGGATGGCCTTAACCCTTTGATAATTCCATCATCTTTGTAAACTATGACTTGGATTTATAGTTCTTTTTTGTTGTATGTATGTGCATATGTATGTATTTAGTTATATTTATTACAGGTGGGAAGAACCTTATGCCCCTATGCCCTTTACGGTCTTTTATTTTTGGAACTCAAAGAAGTGATTTTAAAATTAGAAAAGTGTATGTGGGTGTGTATGATGGAGCCTGTATGTGACCTGCAAAGCCTAAACCTTAAAAGCAAAAACGTGCTGGCCCTTTTTAGTTTTTTTTTTTTTTAAAGATTTTATTTATTTATTTGAGACAGAGAGAATGAGAGACAGAGAGCATGAGAGGGAGGAGGGTCAGAGGGAGAAGCAGACTCCCTGCCGAGCAGGGAGCCCGATGCGGGACTCGATCCCGGGACTCCAGGATCATGACCTGAGCCGAAGGCAGTCGCTTAACCAACTGAGCCACCCAGGCGCCCCTATAGATTTCTTAATTTAAAAACATGTCTGTTTGGGGGGACCTCCATTCCCCCCCCCCAAATAAAGTCCTTAGATGTGTGGAGCAGTGAGCTGGCCAATTGCAGGAATTGGGAGAGGAGGAGGTTCTGGGTGCATGGACCCTGCTCCCCATAGTTCACCTCCACGTCCCAGCTTCCCGTCTGTGAAGCAGTCCGATTGGACTAGACGTTCTCTGAGATTAAAAACATGTTGCGGGAGATGTGTCTGTGGTACATCAGTGTTCCATGTGAAACACCTGCCAGTCGAACGGGAGGCGGCCTAGCATATCACGGGGTGGTTGATAAATGGTTTTCCCACTCTGGAGAGGATGCCTCGTCCTACCTGGGCTGGCATTTCTGCTGCGGCAACAGGAAGGGTGATCCAAGTGCGTCTCCTCCTTTAATGGAGGTGGGAATAAAATAGGTCACAGTTCAAAGAACACCAGAGCTGGAGGAAATGTGCCCACAGTGCCGGTTATTTCAGTGAAATGGTTTTACCCTTCACTCCCCAGTTTTTTGCTTGTATCACATTGGAGAATACTAAGTATTTAAGAAAACAAACCCTTTTCCAGTAATGAGCTTTACTGTTTATTTCTGGCATTGTCATAATAGGTACATTTCTCCCTAAATTTGTGTGTCCCCATCCAAATTAAGGGGCTTGAAGTCTGATTTGGGGTTTGCTTTTTAATTTTTATTTTTTTAAGATTTATTAGAGAGCACGAGCAGGGCAGAGCAGCAGAGGGAGAGGGAGAAGCAGGCTCCCCGTCGAGCAGGGAGCCCAATTCGGAACTCGATCCCAGGACCCCGGGATCATGACCGGATCTGAAGGCAGACGCTTAACTGAGCCATCCAGGTGTCCCCGGCTTTTTGTTTTTTTGTACAGGTTAGGAATACTTGTGTGTGAGTAGGGAAGACCGTACCTTGTCACAGCACCTGCTCCTATCAGGCCAATCTAGCCGTTGAACTAGCAGGTCTGTGATTTAGATGGTATGAGGGCAGCCACAGGGCAAACCACATGGACAACCCATTCAAGGTCTCCCACACATCCTGTCTGTGTACCTCTTGGGGCTGTGGCCTCCATGCTTTCCAAGTTCTCCATCTCCTAGTGTTCCTTGCCAAATATCCAGGAAATCAGGTGACCAGGCACCATGCTTGTAGGCATAGCACCTGCTTGTATTCCCCCTGATGAGACAGTGTGCTGGTGGGGACTGGTCATGTGCGCCAGAGACTGGACCAGAGAAAACCGCTCTCCTTCCCTCTATTTTCTCAAATCTCCTCAGTGTGGGGGTTACTCAGCCCCAGTGGGCGTTGGCATTACGGTATATACCCCCAGCTCTGCCTTAAGGTCCCTTCCATGGACAGAGAGCTGGGAAACCTCATGTTCTGGCTCAAGACCTCAAGGAGGTGGTTTCAGAAAGATTTCTGGCTTATCTCCAATGGTGTAAGAGTAGCTCCCAGGTCCTGGGAATTGGTGGTGGTTTCTTACAGTGCAGATCAGGAAGCAGGGCGAGCAAGGGTTATAGGAGGACCGGAGTGGGTGACTGTTGCTGTTCATGTAGATTTAGGATGTATGAATTTCCACTAATTCCGGCTTCCTTCCCCCATGGACAGATGTTTGTGTGAATCTTCTTGTTTTTGAAAATTCTAGTGAGGGTTTCCTGGTAATTCTGGTTTTTTTTTTCTTCACATACCAGTTACTTGGATGCTTTAGTGATAAATCTTTAATTTCCCAAGTCTGTTAAAACCCCTTCAAGCACAGCTGGCCCAGGGGAGACTCAAATGACCTTTCTGATGTTGCCAACTCATCCACTGTGGGACCATGGCTTTTCCATTAACAGCTCTTCTGGTTTTGAGTTGCCTTTTGAAAGTCAGGCACGAGCCTATATGCCTGTTTTAACCCCCCACCTTCACCCCGGTCTGTGCAGGGGGTGACTACCTATTTCACCATGCCTCCTAACATGAAGAATAAGCACAGCGTTGCAATTTGAACTTGATAGTTTGGGTAATGTCTCTTTTGAGTCTTGCACACAAAGATCGACAAAAATTGAGCTTCTGATTCAAATCCAGGCCTTGATTTTTCAGAGTCAAGAAGGCCTGGTAAGGACCAGTTGGGTAGTATTTATCAGAGAGACTAGTTTGCTTATAGTAAACTTTCTATATCTTTTCCAGTTCTGCTGTATATAAAGTTAGAGCTTGTAGATGTTTTAATCATCAGGGTAATTTACCTTCCCTCCTCACCCATCCTTAGTTGCTTCTTAGTACACCCGGGAGGGGAGGAAGTGATGGGTGGGGGAGGAGCAATAGAGGAGAGCTTATATGAATGCTTGAGGACCAGCTGTGTCTTTTCCAGAGAGGCTGACCCTAGCCAACGTACTCTTCCTTTTGTCCTCTCTATACTGTAATTGTGTCCTCTGTATTTTGTCATTGGATCTGCTTACCCTAGAATATCTAATTTTCTAATAGTAAGCTTATTTGTCCTTAAGTTCATTTAGGGGCTGAAAACCAGGGAGAACCAGCTTCATCAGTGAGTCCTGTTTCCAGTCCCACGACTAAGGGTTGGGCTGGTTGAGTTGTAGGAGGGTGGTCCCTGTGCTGTGGGGAGTGTGGCATGGATCTGACGAGAGAAGAGATACATGGTGCTGGGGAGGAATGTTGAAGTTGGGAGACCCTCCCTTGGGTTCTCTTATTGGAGAGAAGTGGTGGGAAGGCAGGGAGTTATGGAAAGCATCTGGGTATTTGAATCTATTCTGTAATACCTATGTAAGACCCCCTCGGGTACTTGAGCTGAAATCATGGCTTCTTGTGGATCATTCATACTTGGTCTTAATCTAATCTCAGGGGGTGCCCGAGTGGCTCGGTCAGTTAAGTGTCTAACTCTTGATTTCAGCTCAGGTCATAATCTCAGGGTCCTGGGATCAAGCCCCGCATTGGGCTCCTTGCTCAGCGGGGAATCTGCTTCTCCTTCTCCCTGCTCTTGCTCTCTCTCACTTTCTCTGTCTCTCTGTCTCTCAAATAAATCTTAAAAAAAAAAAAAACAAAAAACAAAAAACTCAGATTGGTGGCCTCCTGGACCCATTATTAGGAGTGAAACTGGACCAGTTGATAGGGTACAGAAAAGGGTATGAGGTGTGGAGTTCATTGATACTTGAGTGGTGAAACTTGAATTTTCTCTCACATGGTAAAAAGTCCTAGAAGTGGTAGAAGAAAAAAGAAAAAACTATTAAAAAACAACATACACATGAGATATATGGGAATTATATTCTAAGGATGTAGTTCTTAAGAATTAATCTACCTGTAATGGATGGTCTAAGTTAAGGTTTTCTCTCTTCACTCCAGGAGGTGACTTTGGTCCAGAGACTTCCCCCCAAGTCCTGCCGCCCGGTCATGGTGGAGACTTTTCTGTGAGCAGCCTTCCTATAACAGAGGACACCTACAGGGTGAGCTTGGCCAAAGGTGTCTCCATGTCTCTGCCTTCATCACCTCTGCTGCCTCGACAGTCTCACTCGGTGCAATCAAGATCAAATAAAAAATCCCCAGGTAACTGAACAGCAAAACAGCACCCAAACTAGCTTGGTTATATATGTAATGCATATTGAAATGAAGCAAAACTGGTGCTTATAAGGAATTTTCTGGGAGGATTTCTTTGTTATAGTAATTTCTGGAAGAAGAAAATCTTTAAAAAAGAGAGTTATGATTTGAATAGACTCATTTCTTTAGTTCAACCTATATACAAACTATTTTGATTGCTCAGGCTAGACTTTTACAAAAATTCAAGATCTTTTTATCAATATTAATGTTAATCATTGGTCTTGTGTTCTTGATCATGAATTAGGGAGTGTTATAATCTAAACTCATTGTGGTGCATTTAAAAGTTCTGGATTTTGGCAAGGGTAATCTGACAACAGTCCATTTATTACTGCCAAGTGTTATGTACTGATATACTTTCTTTGATTACATCACCCACCATTTGAACAACTATAAATTTTTGAAAATTCAGACTTTTAAAGGGGTGGGAAGCAAGGGTCTTACGGATTACTTGTTTCAAGTATCTTTGCTTCCCTCATTACCAAGTTTTTGCACTTAACATTACCAATGAAAACACAAACGTTACTTAACTTTGAGAGGTTATGAATCAGATGTGAGGAAAGCCTTTCCAGAATTCTTATACCTGCAATCATGAGAGTTCTTTGATCTTTTAGCTTTGCTGAGCATTTGTTTACTGAAGGCAGGATAGTTTGGGGCCCTTGTTGATCATATGCCAGTGTAAGGATTCTTCTCATTTACACAGAAACGAGTTTGGAATTGGTCTAAGATGTGTCCTGGAGCTATAAAATTGGTATCTGTTTTTCTGGTTTCCTAAATATTTGTATTACTTGAGATGTGATAGGCATTATTTCTGAATCATTTAGTGGATATTTGCAGTTTGTGTGGTGACAAAATTAAGAAGGCAAACCTTGAGGCTTTGAATGTTAGAAATGGTGCTATGAATTGGTGAGTGTCCAAAACCCTTAATTGTTCTAGAGCTTTCTTATTTTGGACAGCATTGTTTATAATCCAGTCATTAGCTGGAACTTGGAAACTTTTTTGGTATGAAGCAATTTCCTGTGCCAAGGAATTTGACCTGTTTATCAGTATTTGGGGAAATTCCTGGAATGTCCTTCCTTCTCTTTGCCTTTCCCTACCACTATATCTCTTTGTCAGATTTTTTCCCTTCTTTCAAATTGTGGTTCCCACACTGCCTTTCTTGATGGTTACCCCATTGGAATTACTCTTCTTCCTACAAATTGTGCACAGCATTTTACTTTTTCCTTTATCAGCCCTGTCATTTGTCCTTTTTCCCTTGAATCAGTGTGTTTATGTGCAGCCTGTGTCTGATGGGCATGGATAGGCACGATGGCTTCTTTGAGTATACATCATCTATATAAAGCCAATATTAGAATTCTGAACTTATCTGGATTTTATTTATTAGAGAGAGAGAGAGAGAGAGCACGAGCAGGAGGGAGGGGGAGAAGCAGGCTCGATCCCAGGACCCTGAGATCATGATCTGAGCTGAAGGCAGACTCTTAACCCCTGGGATCATGACCTGAGCCAAAGGCAGACTCTTAACTGACTGAGCCACCTAGGCGCCCCCTCTCTGGATTCTTAAGGGACCTCAGTTGAGGGTAATGTGAGTGCTAAGTGCAGAAATACAACCTTTGGTAGAATTTGCCTTGCTATAGTCTATGCTGCTGCAAATGAGTTGATGCTGCTTGGGCCTTAGGCCTGGTGAGAATACCTAAGAGACTAGGGAATATGTATTTCAGAGGGAATTTTATTATTAACAGAAGTTTGCTTTAGTGGGACTTGAATCTTTGTAATTTTTTTAATTTGATTTTTCCAGCTCTATTGAGATACACTTGACTATACAACATAGTGATTTTATCTATGCAGGTATATATTGCAAAATAATTACAGTAAGGTTAACACGTCCATCACTTCATAGCTACAATGTGTTTATTTTGTGGGGTGTTAGTGGGATGCTAGATAGCAATGAATGGCATGACAAACATGGGAAGTATGGCTCTCCAGAAGGGTCTCAGAGGCCACAGGCTCTTATGGGCCAGAAATCCCTGATGAGGCCTGGTCTCCTGTGTCCTGACCAAATTGGATATTTTTAGTTTTGAGAAACTATCATATAGTTTGTTTTTCTCCATAGGAATAAAATTTATTAAATGCTTTGCAAGGCCTTATGAACAGAAGGGAATAGTGCGACATTCAGCCTTTTAATGGATTGAAGAGAATATTCTCCATATTAGATGCTTTGGGTCCAAATTAAATACACTAAGCAGATTCTTCTCTAATGGAGCCATGCTTGTGCATTGCCCAAATTTGTGCAGCAAATTTGTGTCTCACAGTGGTAATTTGGCTTCATTATCTTGGCAATTTTAATTCAAAAGGGAAGCTAAGGGCAAAGATGCTTGCTTAAAAATGGCAGTGACTCAGAGTACATCAGACAATAAACAATGTTTTTCCACAGTGTTTAACACTCACAGGTTTCTGTTCGAGCAGTATTGTTAGAAAAGTATCCAGAGACTTAGTGTTCTACCTGCCTGTAAAATTAGTTGGCATATGGTTGTGAACATGCATTGGATTTAAAAATAGCCATCTATTTAAAAAGCTCACACTGTTGTTGCTAATGATACGGTAAATACGGTGTGCATGCTGCGCCCATAGGTAACTGAGCCCTTCCCCTGCGCCCCCCTCACACCAGCCAGGCTGGGCTTAGATCTTGTCATCATTCAGAACCAGCTCTGAATTACCCTGTTGACTTCTGTTCTCATTTGTATGATAAGACTCTTTTCTCTCTCTTTTGTTTAAGAAGGTTCATTAAAAAAAAAAAAAATCTAAACCTGTTTTACTCGTTTGGATAGAAACTCTTCACTAATTGATGCTAATCAAGAAACTGTCAGGGACTGAAACCGTTCTAGCAAAGGTCAAATACTATAAACCCCTGTAATAGGCACTCCACGTAGCTTGTTTTAATGAAAGTTTGTATTTTAATACAATAGGTGATTAGCTGGTGGGTCATGGGAGCTCTGGGCCAGAGACAGTTTCATTAACCTTGCAATAATGTGACCTGCATTTTTCATGGTTGGGTTTCTTACATTCCACTCATATTGCTTAGTTAATATTATTTATTCTCCTACTACCTTGTTCCACATAGTTATATTTTTTTCACTTGTTAGTCTAAAGATGCAATTTTTGAGTATTGTTTCTTTTTTTTTTTTTTTGAATGGAAACTATATTTGCTGGTAAAGAAAACAAGGGCCAGTATCCATTATAGTCCTGTGGTGGTTGCAAGCTTTTTTGGATTAAGAATTCATTAATATTTGTAATGTATCCTTTTGTCTTCCAGAGAAGAGCAAAGCCCATTTCCTATGGTTTATTTATTAGTAATATCATTAGTTACTTTATACTTGGATTATATTTCCCAGATCACTTTGGGCCCATTATGAAACACTCCAAAGGTAGAGCATGAATGGGAAGTACACTTTTAAAATGCTGTGGTGGGGTACAGCGGTAGAGGTTGGAAAGTGGGGGATACTGCTTTTTTCATCCTCGCTTGTGTGGAGAGAATGGATGGTGCCAGCTAGGTGCACGTCTGCTGCTCGTTCCAGTTCCAGTTCCAGTTCCTGCTGTAGCCCTTTTGGAAACCCCTCTGGCTGGCTGTTTCTTCAAGGCAGAAACCTCCAAGTTGACAGGCTGTGTAGTGAAGTCATTCTGCCCTTTGATTCTTGGACCATAAGTTAATTGTCTGTCCAGGTCCTCCCTCTCTCACCCTGCAAGAGTGTTTCCTGTAGAAAATTAGCATTTTTATTTACTTATTTTTATTTATTTTTTTAAAAAGATTTTTTTGATCTACTCCATCGAGACCTGAGACCACACATGCACTGACTTTTTTCACTTAATATTATATCATGAACAATTTCCAGTTTGCTTGAAGGACTTGAGATTTAATGTCTTCTGTTTCAATATTCCATGATTGATTTTTAACTAGTTTCCAATTGTTGGGTATTTTTTATTTTTCAGATTTTTAAAAATTGTAGCATGAGCTAGGATATTTTGCTTTGTTTTTGCTGTTCAGTGCCTATGAATTCAAAATTTTTAATTGTGGTAAAATACAAGTAACAGAATTTGCCATTTTAACTATTTTTAAATGTACAGTCTAGTCATGTAAAGTACATTCACATTATTGTGGAAGCAGTCTCCAGAGCTCCTGAAGTGAATGCTTTTGTCCAGTAATTTTTGCGCACATCTGATATTGTAAGAGTGGCAAGTTCCCAGAAATGGAATTATTGAACTAAATGGACTGCATTTTTAAAGATCTTGATGCATACTGCCCAGTCACTTTCCAGAAAAGCTGTATTGATTTCACATTCCCTCCCGAGTTCTTTGAGAGGCTTCTTTTTGAAGTTAACCATCTTCTGGGAACGGTCTCAGATGGATTAGTGCTGGTGCGGTGCTTTGTCCGAATTAGTAAGAAGGGACTGAGAGAAGTCCTCCTGTCACCTTCCTCTTTTTGAACTTCCCTTCTGTCTGCACTTCTCAGACAATTCCCATTTTCTTTCCTTCCATGTTACTGTGTCAGGGGAATGATCACAGCTGAGTCAGATCAAGTTCACGGTCAGAAAAACACTCAGCTGGCTTCCAGTTTTAGCTACAACCACACTCTGTTATGTGGGGAAGATCATAGACATTTTCTATTTTTTTTTTTAAAGATTTTATTTTTAAGTAATTTCTACACCCACCGTGGGGCTCGAACTCACAACCCCGAGATCACACTCCACCAGCTGAGCCAGCCAGGCGCCCCAGGATCATAGACATTTTTGAGTTGGCGAGGCCTCCAGACCAGGTCAGGCCATCTGTGCCAGGCCTCTTTGCAGATAGGGAAGGGGATGGAACTTGCCCCAGTGTGGAAGTTACTGGTAGAGCTTTGGCCTAAGCCCAGGTCCCCTGCTCTGTCCCCAGCATGTTCTCCGATGCCAGTCTGCATTGTT